GATAAACTCATATCCGTTTGACCAAAACTATGAACAAAACAAAGTAATCAATTCTCAAAATCTCCAGCATTCTCCAACAAATAATTTGCTGCCAATTCCTCGTTGCGGTCACAAGCCAAAAAAGCTTCAATGACGAGGGCTCTCTCAAATCCCATTGCTTCAAGCTTCAAGCCAAAAAAGAAATTGAGGACACAGAGGATCCAAATAAGAATACATAACAGCAGTAGATTTGCCTACCCGTTGGATAGCCTCCTGTTCAGCTGGGGTAACATTGATAGCATGAGGCATATCTTGTTCAGCTTGATCAAATATATCCCTGGAACACAAATTTAAGTCGATATTATTGCCAATGCCAAGTCATCCATATAGCCTGGTGAGATATTCTATACACACTCACCCTTCAGAACCTTCTAGAGGCCCGTTTATTAGCTGAAGAAATTCGGTATTGTGCTCCTGAATTTGTCTTAAAAGCTGAGGGTTTTGCTTCCCCAGCTCCTGTAGCATGGGCTGTAACAAAAATAAATCAATTCCAGAACAATACAATGCTGTTATTTAGATGGTGAAAAACGTAGAAATACAGACCTGTAGAATTTGTGGATTTGATTGTATCATTGAACGCAATGCTTGGAACTAAAATGCAAACAAAGATGCACTTGGCATTTCATGTGTCAGAGAACAAAAAAGCTTCATAGTTAAAGAGAAAGCAAATGATTTAACAGGACTAAACATGTTGGTTGTTTCTGAGAAAATCCAAGGATTCAAGCCCACCAGCATCAGCACCAGCACCAGAAAGTGTTTCCTAGTATCATTTCAGCATGTTAAGAAGGAAAAACATAAACCAGCGCACACTATAATGAACAATAATCTGTGTTCATGACTTAAGTACTTCAAAAGTCCAAGCCTCTTAAGGTTTTACCGTAGGAAACATATTAAAAGGCGATGAATTAGGAGCCCCTACACCAGGAGCTGCACCAGTTTCAGTAGTCTGACTTGTAGGAAAACGAGCCATTGGCACAGCCACTTCTGCTGATTCAGGAATCCCCTGAAGATAAAATCGCATCAGAACTACATCCCAACAATTAAGTAGTTTAGTGTCAGATACAATCATAAAGTTTCATACGGAATACAGATAATCCACTGCTCTTTCCGGATTGTTATAAGCAGCTCTAAGTGCACGAGTTACTGTTTCTTTGTCCCAGTTGCCACCACCCATATTTATCAGTTGTTGGACAGTTTGTTCAAGATTAGTTCCAGGAACTAAAATGGAAGCAGCTTGACTATAATTATCGGTACTTGGACTGTATCAAGAAAAACCTTTCCTCATTACTTTCACAACATTAAGACAATATAAGAGGTGTGGTATAGGGAAGAAAACGCAGCAATATGCATTCTTTTGAAGAGACAAATTACAAAAGAAGGAAAAATTAATCAGATAACACCTGGCAGTTTCTCTCTATGTCTAGAGTGAGAGGAAAATATTCCTAGCATTGTCAATGGATACAATCTCAGATGAAACATAGAGCTGCTTACACAGCAAGAAAGCAACTGATTCAAACAATTCCAATCGATAAAGCAAACAGAAAATGAAGTGATTATCTTTCTGTTGACAGTTGTACTGCTGAGTTCTATAAAAGAAATTGAAATGTAGAATTCAGTTTATCAAAACTTCTCTTATAGAGCCAGCCTGGTTGAAGTAATGTGACCTTCACAGCCAAACATATGCACAGGGAAGTAATACGTGACTGAAACTTCTTAGGTAAAAGTTAGGTATGTTCAACACAAACAAAAAGGGATATGAAGGGCACTGCAAAATGCAAATATTAAGTGATATTCTGCTTCCTCACCAGCAAAGCTGAAATTTTTATTTTTTATTGGAAATACCAACCAAAAGGAAATCAAAGTACTATCAAACATCTATTTTATTCTCTTCTTTCCTCGGTAAAAGTCAATCTTAAGTGGTTCTAAACACATGCCTATCATGAAAATTAATGTTGTGAGATTCATGCACATAATTTCATACATCTATTAGCCTAATAAACAAGTATTTAGAAGATAGACATCACATACTTAGTTGTTGCAGCATCGGAAGTAGATGTGGTGCCCTTCGAAGCCCTACAGTAAAAGAATTCACAACACGCATAAGATAAATGTAGCTGGACTTAAAACAGGCCATGTTTTGTGGGAGGGAGAAAATTAGTAGAATGAATTTACGGTGCTTGTGCAGAAGCTTCTGGGGTAGTGGTAGGATTAGAAACAGGCGCAGTTGTAGATGGAATTGATGAAGCAGGCTGTCAGGTAAGACAAGGATAAAGTTGTTTATATTCTGATTTGAAATTGAAATAAGAAGTGTAACTGCATCATGATGCTCAACCTAATAGAAACAAATCAAAAGAATATGATTACCTGGGCAGATGAGGCCCCAGCTGAACCCGAAGACTTGCTCTTTAAGAACATCCAAACAACTGAAAGTAAGTAAGAATACTACAAATGCATGTATCATGCTAAACCATAAATTTCTAAATCCATTCAGAAATATCGAACTAATCTAGAACGTACAAGAAGGTAGCTAAAATGGAAACCATGAAACATAAGAATACTACAAATGCATGTATCATGCTAAACCATAAATTTCTAAATCCATTCAGAAATATCGAACTAATCTAGAACGTACAAGAAGGTAGCTAAAATGGAAACCATGAAACACTCCATACTGCTAGTCAAAAATTTACTTTTCCTTTGAAAAACATCAAGCTTTAGATGAAGCCCAAGACTTTTAACAAACGCCTCTCAACATTGCTATATAACCCACATAGGTATATTATACTCAAAACAACCAAAACAGCTTGATACAAGGTAATGCAAGAAGGCCAACTTAACCAAAAAAACAAACTTGTTATCTGAACATTACAATACTCGAAACTTGGTGGGGAAAAAGTAACAGTTTAAGAAGAAAAATTATACCTTGCTAAGCATGACAACAAGAAAACCATCCTCGGAGACTTTATTATCAGCTATGGTAGTTTCATCTTTCAAAACTTTCCCATCGTGAATCAAAAGCTGTTGGCCGCAAGGATAATTGTCTTTCCCTTGTATATCTTCAATGTTTTTCTTCACAGCCATAGCCTAATAAAACATCAAATTTTAAGAGAAAAAGATTGAAACTTTGGTCACAATCTTTAACCCAACAAAAAGAAAAGAAAATGCTAATTGAGAAGATAAGACTGGGAAGTACCGTGTCGTTGGGGTGAACCCTGATTTCAAAGTGGCTACCCTTAAGGGTTTTAACGGTGAGCTTCATTCCGACAAAATGAAACGGAGGCGTTTCAGGTTGGGGAGTGGATCACAGTTCAGGACGAAAGAGAGAGCATCATGGAAAGAGGGTTTTACGGGGATGCAGAGAGAAGTTTCTTTTCTTTTAGTAATTATTTATTTATTTTTTTTAAATGAAACGGAGGGAGCTTTTGTTGCAGACTGATATATATATATATATATATATATATATATTGATAATTCAATTTCTGTTTTGAAAACAATTAATGATACCAAAAGTTTATGTGCATCATACTTACAAAACAAAATAAAACAAAACAAGAGATCGGTTAAGCTATATTCCAAGAATTACATAGGAAAGTATTAATATTATCATACATGTTAATGTTTTTTCTCTCAATTTAATACCTACTAATTCTTTGATGCAAATAAAAAGTTCATCGGTAGATCTTGATCTTCCTTGAAAGATTCTTCGATTACGCTCCTATCACAAAATATATATTCTAACCCACCAAGCAAATTTTAAAATAATAGAAATAAGGGACTTGCCTTTTCAAGAATTGCATGTCCAAACAATCATGTCCTCCCAAGAAGAAATAGATTTCTTTAACCCATTATGTTGTAAAATGACCTCCCATAAATTAGAAGCCGTGGGACATTCAAAGAACAAATGAGACTGAGTTTCCAGTGCAGCATTACAAAGGACACAATCCCCAAAAGTGATAATTTCTATTCGTTGGAGTCAATCACGAGTTAGGAGTCGATCAAGAATTGCCATCCACTCAATTATACTAAGTTTAGAAATATGGAGTGGGAACCAGATCAAGGTGTGCCATGAAACTTTATTCGCATTCATCATCATTTCCTGCCAAATATCTCTTATGGTGATGGTTCTGTTCGTGATTGCTGGTAAAGCTTCTGATCGAAGTTTAAAGATTCTGTTGAAACTCCAACAGTAATTAGGACCCCCTTCAATGTGCCAGAAGTTGTTCTCCTTTAGCACATATGTTTTGATCCAAGCAACCCATAGCGATCCCTCTCCTGCAAGGATATTCTTCATGAGTTTTAGTACTTAAACTATTACTTTTATTCTATTTCGATACTTAATTTTTTTTTATTTCAAACTTATACCTAATATTTAGTTTAAGCTTCCTTTTAGTATCCTGATGTTAAAAAATTAATAGAATTGTTGAGGTGATATTTTTTAATTTTTTCATTGATGATGTGACATTATATTATGGTGACACGTCAATATTACATTACTGTTTAGTTTTTAACACTGAGATACCAAAATAAAATCTAATCTAAATACTAGGTATGATTTAAAAAAATAAAATTTGGATACTAAGACAAATTAAAATTAATAATTTAGATACTAAACATGTAGTTTACCTTTAATTTAATATAAAGGATAATGGAAAAAGAGTCTTAAAAGTTTGTATTTTTTTAATTGTGATTTTAAATTTTCTTTTTGATAATTTAAGTCTTAAAGCTTAATGAAAATTTAAGTGCTCAAATTTTATCTTTTGTTTATTTTAGATGTTTATTTTTTTTTTGGTTTAATGTAAGTGTCTAATATTTTTATTATTATTTTTGTTAGTGTTTATATCGTAACGGTAGTTACAAAAAACGTTATTTGACAATTTATATATTTTTAAAAAATTTATTTTTAAAAATTAAGATGATTATTAATTTTTAAAAAATTCTAAATTTTTTTAAATCAAAAATCCTAAAATCTCTAATTTCAAACTCATTCCATTATTGTTGACTATTTCCAACTATCAACTCCATCATTAAACAGCTACTCATCCGTCGTTTACAAAAATTGTCAACAGTTGTGATTGATTTATCCCTTAGTTTTTTAGAAAAAATTGAGCAAAGGACATTTTAGCAACTTCATTAATAGTTGGGAATGGCTTTGAAATTTTCCCCTTTTTTGTCTAATTTTTTAAATATTTTTTGAAACATTCCTATTTTTCTTATTATATTCGTAAATAAGTCCAAATAATTCAGCCTGGAAGAACCGCACAATGGAAAAAGAATAATAAATAAGAAAAGAAGGGGAAAATAGAAAAGAAAATAATAGGAATGGAAGAGAGATGGATCGATGAAAAGACAGAGAAACCATAGTTCTAAACGGGATTTCTCTCATTTCCGCATGCAAACGTTATTTTATTTATTTCTCAGTTTGAGCGGTGATCCGATAGCCTCGCTGTCTCTCTGTATCTTCCTTTCACAATAACGCAAACAACAACAATAACATGCTCTCCCTCTATTCAATGCCTCCTTTACTTACACCCATTGCTTTCTTTTCACTTCTCTCATGTGAATGTCTATACATTGCTCATTAATCATTATTTCCCCCCTTCAACCTTTTGCTTCCATGGGTATTCAAATCATGCTCCGTGTAAAAGTCTTTTCTAACCCACATCATTTTTTTTCTAACAATATTATGCTTCATGTTTCCTTGTTTCTTTTATGCGGATGAATTTTATTTTTGATTACAGGATGTGGGTTCTAATCATCTGCTACATTTTTCAGTGTTTCAATAGACTTCAGGTTGGTTTATTGGTTTACTTGTTTTTACGGGGCCGGGCAACTTGGATCATGTATTTAAATTTCGGTTACAGTCGCCTTTTCGATTGCTTTGCATGCGATCAGTGGGTGCTATTGCGGTCATGGTCGGTATCTCGCCGTTATTTCGATAACAACTACTATTTAAGTCCCTGGCTTGGATTATTTATATGGCATATAATCAAATGCACATGCATTTATTGTATTCAAATGGTATTTTTTTATTAAATACTTTTGTTGTATATTGTTAAAAAAATGGTATTCCTTTTGGGATCTCTTTCCAGATACCTGAACCACCTTTGCTTGCTCTTTAAGAGAAATTGAGGTTAGCTATTAATAAACATACATGCTAGTTTTAATATGCTGCAATTCGTTTAAAAAAAAAATTAATATGGCTTTGTTTTGAATTTTATCTTATGCCCTTTTGAGATCACCTGCCAAGTTTTTTTAAGATTGAAAGCTGTGTTTTTTTTGTGGGGTTCTATGACAGTGAAGGAGAGATCTAAATTATAATGGTGAAGAAGAAGTATCCAATTGGGCCAGAGTTTTATACACTGCATGAGGCGATTGGACAGGGCGTTAGTGCTTCTGTGCACCGTGCTGTCTGTTTACCCTTCGACGAGGTTGTTGCAATCAAAATTCTTGACTTTGAACGTGATAACTGTGATCTGGTAAATCCTTCATTCTAATTCTGCCATTGTTTTTATCTCTCAAGAGTTTAATTCAATTTTGGTTCATCTTCAGCTATATGCATTTTGATGGTTTGTTATCTAATTGGGATTAATTTTTTTGCAAAAAAAGTATGGATATCTATCAACAGTTTGAGATTTTATTTTCTGAAAAAGAAGCATTGATATTTTAATGGCCCTTTTTCCTTTTAACTCGAACGTCAACTATTGTTTTCTCATGGTCCATACAACACATCGTTCGTTAACATTTTCTTCTCAATGGTGTATTCAAATGATCTCCATTGCTTACTTGAGCTTGATTGAAGGCTCGGAATTTTCTTCTTGATTAGGTAGTTACTGCTTGTTAATATCTGGTGAACAGCATATATAGGTAGATTTTTAACGGACACAGATCGAGGTTCATGTAGCGATAAGACCTCTCCTTCAATAGAAGGTGCAAATGATGGTGCAATTGGTCATTTCAAATTCAATAGATTTGTTGAACTTTTTATATTGTTGGTTAAAAGATATAGGTCCATAGTATTTGTAGGATTAGTGCTAGAACAAATATGTATACACACACACGCATATATATACATACACATATTAATTTAAATGTAGCTGGCATAATTTGAGTTTGATCAAGTGCTTTTGCATCAAATATGATTGTTCCAAAATCTTCATACTAGTTCTGCCTTTTCTTTAAAGGTCTTTTGTTTTTCTTTTCATGTTTGCATTCTGCCAATGATAATAACTAGTTCTTTTGATATTATTCTCCTGATGGGGTTTGCAGAACAATGTTTTTCATGAGGCACAAACAATGGTCTCGGTTGAACATCCAAATGTTCTTAAATCACATTGCTCCTTCGTCAGTGATCATAATCTATGGGTTGTCATGCCATACATGGCTGGGGGATCTTGTCTCAATATACTGAAGGTTGCATATCCTGATGGTTTTGAGGAGGTAGTTATAGCAACAATACTTCGTGAAGTGTTGAAAGGTTTAGAGTATCTTCATCATCATGGGCATATACATCGGGATGTTAAAGTAAGTACTTGGTCTTCATCATGGTCTAGAGCTGCTGTGAGTGCCCTTATTACTTCTAGTACTTGTTGCCGTTTGTTGCGTAATTTGTACTCAACAATTGTAATCCTTGTGTTTTTAAACTGAGTTCTCAACGATTAGGTTTATTTCATCTGAATTCTATATAATTGATAAGTTTAATTTAGCGAGGTAAGATTTCTGCAATATACATGTATATATTATATTTGAGTTGGTTATTTAGTATTGGAGCTAGAACAAGTGATCTTGATTACTGGGTGATGAACTCCAATACTTTTCATAAAAGCTTCCATAGTTGTTTCTCATGTAAAAGTGAAATACTTTGGTTCTTAGTTCCTCAATGATCTCTCCATTAGGCTGGGAATATTCTAATCGACTCACGTGGTGCAATCAAGCTGGGAGACTTTGGTGTTTCGGCTTGCATGTTTGATTCAGGTGATAGGCAACGCATGCGGAATACATTTGTGGGGACACCTTGCTGGTATGTCTGCATTCCATTGAGTTGGTAGTTCTTAGATAGGAATCCTGAGTGCCAAATAATTACGTGATTCACTCAAGCTAACATCTCTTTATTAATCATAAAAAATCTAGATTACAGAACAATCAGCTTAATTCTATTCATAAAGCATCTTAGTTTTGAAGAGATTTCTCATTGACATAAAGGATAGTATGTAATGTCCTGTAACTTGTAAGAGTGTCAAAGGTTTAATGCTTCATATCTTTTATGAACTAATTTTCCCTCCATCATTTCAGGATGGCACCTGAGGTTATGGAGCAAGTGCGTGGTTATGATTTCAAGTCAGTTTATTGTTTTCTCAAGAATGTATTTCTGATTCAGGCTCCTTAGATGGTATCATTTTGATGGTTATTTGGCAAAATCTCTGCAGGGCGGATATCTGGTCATTTGGAATAACTGCACTTGAGCTCGCTCATGGCCATGCTCCTTTCTCGAAATATCCCCCAATGAAGGTGGATTGCTTTTGTGACCCCACCTTCATACAAACACAATCATATACTGGACACCAAAAGTTATTCTGATTTAAAGAACATCTCTTGTTCTTAGGTACTGCTTATGACCTTGCAAAATGCACCACCAGGCCTGGATTATGAAAGAGATGGTAAATTTTCTAAGGTAGGCTTAACCAATCCAATATTCTTAGTTGTTGGGTCTAATTTTAGATTAACATGATGTGTTCATCTTGTGTTTCTCTTCTCCTTCAGTCTTTCAAGCAAATGATAGCTAGCTGCTTGGTGAAAGATCCTTCAAAAAGGCCTACTTCAAAGAATTTACTAAAACATTCTTTTTTTAAGCAAGCAAGGTCAAATGATTATGTTGCACGGACGCTTCTAGATGCATTGCCCCCTCTCGGTGTCCGTATCCAGGAATTGAAGGTTAGCCTGCTACTTTCGAGCTTATCACTCTTAATTTGTATCAGTAAGCCTTACATTATGTTTCAGTTTCTTAGACTTACAGCTACTATCATTTTGGAAAATAGAGAAAGGAAGAAGATATGCTTGCACAAAAGAAAATGCCTGATGGTCAAAAGGAAGAATTATCTCAGGTTAGAACTTTCAAAATTCACCTTTATATTGTGGTTATCACTAAGTCATGATTTTTGAATTCAAACTTTTGGTTGGCTTACGATTACATGGATTAAATACTGGAGTGAGGGTTTTGGACTTCAATATTATACTAGTGATCTATGCTTGGCAATGAGAAAGTGCATATCTAATATGGGAATTATATGTCTCCTACATGTATTTCACACTATTTGTCCTAGATTGGATGTTCTAGTTTCTTACTTGCCGGTGTAATTTCTTGTACAACCATGTCTAGTGTCTGGGATTTTCAAGATCTAAGTTCATGATTTGCCTGTGATTTTGTAATCATGAGCAGAATGAATATAAACGTGGGATAAGTGGATGGAATTTCAATCTTGAAGATATGAAAACTCAGGCTTCTCTGGTATAGTATGGTCACGTTCCTTTTCCTTTTGATAAACCCTTTATGTTATGTTTGGAAACAAGGATTTGAAAATCAGAATTTGGATTTCATTTGCTATGTAAATTACGAGTGAAATGCATGCGTTATGCATAAATTTGTTAAAATGAAATATGAATATGTATTTGAAAGTCATAAAAACATGAATTTGAAATTCACAAACTACTTATGGTAACGTTGGAAGCTTGGATTTCACAATTTGGATTTCGTTTTCCAAGATAGCGTAAATTGAGTAATAAAATGCTTAAAAATGCAACATTTACTAGTATTTCTCGAATCCATGGATTTGTTAGATGCCTATTTAGTAGTGATTTTGAAATCCCTACTATAAATTTGGATTTGATAAATCCATATCCTTTTACTTTTCAAGTTTATACTCTATTGAATCTTAACTATTTATCTCTAGTGTATACATTTTATTCTTATCATTTACATAGCAAATGAAATCCAAATACATACCTTGAAATCCAAGTTCCCCGAACGGAACATATAGGAATTTCAAATTCACTACTAAATAAGCATCCGACAAATCCAAAATTTTAAAAAATAATCATGAATGTTTTATATGTGTCTTATGACGTAACCAACACTGTTTGAAATCCAAATCCATATTTTGAATTCCAAATTTCCAAACGCAATCCAAGTACATTTATATATTCTTTTCTTTAGTATTTCTACAATTCATCCTATGCTTTCTATCTTCATCAGATTCAGGATGAGGGCCTTATAACTGAAACTAGCCAAGGTGGGAGCTCAAGTTCTTTGTGTACACTTGATGTACAAGATAAACAATTGGAATTTCGGACGTCTTCTCAAGCTACAGATAAGGTATCTCATTATATTATTCTTTTGGCAGGGTTGTTGTGGGAAAGTGGTCTTTATAAGTTCTGTTGTTATATGGTTTGTTGGTCCTTTCTTTTTTTTTCTCCAAGATCTCTTTTGGGTAGTTCATGACTGTCTGGCTTCCACAGGAAGATAATGATCTGGTCCAGAATCAGCCAGCTTCTTTTGCAGCAGTTGAGGCAACAGTAAATTTTACCAGGTATGTTATTTTAGATATTTGACTTTCATGCATGTTGTATTTTTACCTCTTATCTCTTTTCAATCACGTTTGGCCAAAGGAAACTACGATAGTATTCTATAATCATGCTTCTACCATAGAAAATTTTCAGTAGATTCTCATATGTGCCACATTAGGTCTCATAATTTGAATAAGGTTTCATTTAATGGAGGTAATGCTAATAATTATGTTTGTGTTTGATCATCCAGAGTTAGATCTGAAAGATCTAATGATGAATCAAGTGCAGCTACTTCTCTGGAACCAAATTTGATTTCCCCTTATCATGATGTCCGCTCTGAACGTAATTTGGTTGAAAAGCCTGTTTTGGAGTTCAATGGAAAACCTTCTGATAACACGACCAAACTTTCTCATCAAAGGACAGGAACATTTTCAGGGAGCATAAATATACCAGAAACCAATGTTCTTCTAATTAAAGAAAGGTCAGTTTCTTTCAGTTTACTTGTTTGTGATGCTTCTATGTTGCATCAATATTGGAGCAACTTATTTTATTTGTCATTTTGTAAATTTCTTCTACCAAGGATTTGGTCTACGAACTCAGTTTTTTCCAGTTGTACACCAGTGTGATTTTTGAGCTTTGTGAGTCCTAAAGCTATAGAATGTTTGGACTTGGTGCAATATTCCGATATCTGGGAAACATATATCCAAACATGTTTTAAACTAACATATATCTAGGAAAGTACTAAATTATCATCCCATCCACTTTATTTTCACATATGACTTGTAATAGTATTTTATTATATTATATTGTCATCCATGTATAGAGTTTTCATAGCACTCATTTTATGACGTTTTCAGTAATAAGCAAAGCCAGCCCATCAATAGTTCCAGTGGTGATGGTGTGTCGATTCCTGCTGGAGAGGATACTATTTCAGAGCTTTCTTCTAAGGCATCTAAATCACCAGGCTAGTTGTTAATTATTCATTCTCTTCTTTTGTGCAAAAAAAGTCTCCAAGTTCCTTGGTTTTGTTGATGTTTAATTTGCGCTCCTGCCATTTCAATTTGACGCACTTCCCCAATAATAAAGTGTCATTGCAGCAGTGAACAGTTATGATTTTGATGAGAAAGTAAATGAGAAAGTAAAGCCACCGGTTGTTCAGCAAAGAGGACGTTTTAAAGTTACATCCGAGAATGTTCATTTGGAAAAGGTGATTTAGATCTTTTTGGTTTGGTGGTTGGTTCTCTTGTTCATAGAAGATATGGACTCAACTTCTCTTTTCAGGTTGTCGCACCTCCTGCACTTCCAAAGAGTCACAGCATGAAGGTTCGTAATTCGGAGGTCGGCACATGTTTGCCTAATTGCCTATTAGACCCCAACCGTAGCACCCCACCTTATAGTTCTCTAGTAAATGCATGACTAGGTATTTGACTAGATGTATAAGAGATTGACTTGCGTTCCTCACAAGCTTTTGTGTCACTGTAACAAGTAAAAGAAGTCATATTGTCACATGCAGAAAACTTGCAGTCCATTATGAATCATCATGTAACTGGCTTGTGCCTTATTCAGCATCAACAAGTAGATGATGAATTCTTTCTCCAGAGTAGAATAACTTACTATTACTTCCCCTGATAGGGTTTCATAAGATTTTGGCATATAACGCTTGGAAATTTTTGAATCTTTAAAGTAGAAATATAGTTAGTTATCCCTGTTTAACCGAGACCACTATTGTCTTTTTCTTACCAAAGTAATCTCAAAGTCAATACAGGCCATCTGAGAAAAAAACAAAATGTGGGTATAAACCTTTTATATCATCCAAAAAAGAACATATCCATACTCTTATTTTATTGCTTATAAATTATTTAATATAGAAGTCATTGGTTATGCAGGTTCTCATCCCAAATCCTATGTTTTCACTAGGGCCTTCATCTGGTGTCTCGCCGTTAACTCCTGCTGCCGTATCATCAACTCCTGCCGGTGTACCATCAACTCCTGCCACACTATCAACTCCTGCTGGTGTACCATCAACTCCTGCTGCAGTATCAACTCCTTCCGCACCATCAACTCCTGCTGCTGTACCATCTACTCCTGCTGCTGCATCATCAACTTCTGCTGCCACATCACCAACTCCTGCCAGTAGTCTTTTTCCACTGTGCCAGTCTGTTTTGCAGGCAAACATTCTTCAAAGGGTAGGTTAAATGGTTAATCCCATATAATTTACATTATATACATATCTGTCAGCTAATGTCTCTTTACTTGGCATCTTTTTTGTCAACAGGAGAACATTCTCAATGTGATGAAGCACATTTGTGCTGGTGACTCTATAGGTGCTAAAACTAATGCTTCTAAAAGTGCACCTTCTATTCTTATCTTTATAAATTGAAATCAGATGATCTCATATATATATATATATATATTTTCTTCATTACTTAGCCAACCGTGCATTTGAGGGAGTATGCATGCCAGCAGCTAAAGCGGCTGTCACAGAGAAATCTTTGGTAAGTTGTCCAGGGCTCTCCATCATTAAAAGTAAGCCAAGATAATCTCCGAAAAGTGTCTCATACCAAGTAAGTTTCTGAATGTTAATGAATTTGAAACAAGTGATTTTGGCACTCGGGTTGGATCTTTCGTTGGCATAACAGTTAGATATACGTTTAGTTGAGTGGTATGCAGCTTGGGGGGATATATAATAAAAGAGTAGCAGAAAAATATTTTGGTAATTGTGGAAAGTGAAGACCGATATTAAAGTCGAGTTAAATGCATGGTTGAGAACTGGAAAGGTAGTAGTTTGCATGTGTTTCCTACAGGTTGAATATATACCGGAGAATTCCCGTCTCTAATTTTAACTTTCTTTGGCTGGAATCATAAGTAGGCTATAACATACTCAACCATATATGACATTTCCAACCTTCTCTTGAAACTAAGACACTTGGAGGAACCATACTTGACACTTCACACAATAAAAGGAGGAAACATGTTTTTTGAATTGCAGTTGGAAGAAGCTCATGATCGAGAGAAGGAGTTACGTCATGAAATAGCCGAGTTACAGTGGAGGTATTTCGATGCCATTTGTTTTTGTTTTTTCTTTCGTCCAAATTTCACCATTCGAAATGAAAAAAAAAACTTGGCTTAAACCTTGGTTTTCTATATGTGTAGGCTTATTTATGCCCAAGAAGAACTGCAGAAATACAAAACAGAGAATGCAGAGGTTAGTTTTTGAAACACTTTGCTCATCTGTTTCCACTCTTCATACTTCAACTATAACAGCCGATTAACCTTCAAATTCCAGGTGTAATGAAGCAGCTGTTTCTTAAACCATATGATTCCAAGTAACAACAGCCAGCAAAATAAAATGATATAAACAAATATAGTTTGCTTCACTTTGCATTGGCTGAAATGAAAATTTACTTTGAAGCCTTCGACTTGTACATTTCTGTTATACATTTTATTCATATAAGTTGAAAATAGTAAATGTAGCTTGAGGGATGTTTTTCTACTCCTTGATTTGTTTACCCATTGTTGGCATCTTTTGGTAAAATTGATTGCATGTTTTTCACTTGGATGATAATCCAAGTTCAAAATTGATTTTGTTATTCCATTAATTGATAGCTCCTCAAGTAAAATTTTATTACGGACTTAAAAGTAAATTTATCAAGTGATCTCAGTGATATTATTTAGAGATTCCAAGTTCAAAAAATTATGTTTATAGGATGTGTATAAAATTTCTAAATAATTATTACCTTAATACGTACGTCTAATTAGTGTGTCCAATTCAATACTATTCACTCAGTAACCATTAGTAATATTGATACTATGTTTAATATCGATATCTTATAAATATGATTCACTTAATATTTATATTTAATATTTAATTTTGACATCGATATCAAGTCTCATGTCCAGATATCAACACTTATTTTGAAAATTGAATAATTACGCTTTTAATCCTTCTAATATATATGCCATGTGATTATATGACATATTTTGAGTATTTATTTATAAATATTTAGAATAAGTTAAAACCTAATAGAAAATATAATGATAATATCATATTTGATATTTGTATTTTAAAGATATTTAATGTAATACTTGTCCTTTGAAAAAGTGTCCTATATGATACTTTTACTTGATAAAATGTCCATTTTAGTACATGTATTTTTAAAATATTTAATATGATATTTATACTTTCTCAAAATATCTACTGCGGTATTTGAACTATCATTTTATGTATTATTATGGTACTTGAATTAACACGGAAAATAAATGAACGCACATAAACTAGTTTCTTCGTGTATTATCATGTAGGCACTATAGTAATTCACAAAATGATAGTTTGAATATCATATTACATATTTTGTCAAAGTTTATATACCGTATCAAATATTTTAAAATATATGTTATCACATTAGATATTTTATCAAAGTAAACGTATCACATTAGACAGCTTAAAAGTACAAGTGTCACATTCAACATTCAATATGACCTTATCCCAAAATATATCAAATTAATTAAGATATATTGTAGTATTAATATATATTTTAAATAATTCATGTGCAAATACATATAATAAAAATAAAATAGAGAAAAGTTTTGTATTCATTTTTATTGATATTAAGCATCAACTAATAGTTTTAGAACTTATATAATTAGAAAGTCAAGTTACAAGAGTGGCGTGGAAACTGGCATCTGGCTTTAACAGTTGAAAACAATCCACATGTTTATTATTTGCACCATTTGTTTCCTCTAATTTAGTAGAAATACACTCAAACCTGCAAATATAGACTTCATGTTTTCATATAAATCCTTTGTTATTACCTTCGTTCTAAGTACTAACATCTTCTGACAAAAAAATAAAATAAAAATAAATAAATAAAACGAGTAAATAGCAGCTTCGTATTCCTTCAATTATTACATCAAATGTCTCCCATGGCTTCTCCAGCTGCTGAACTTTCCTTTAGCTTTTTACTTCTCTTATCAGCTGCTGATGCTGCTAATAATATTGACATCAACAAGATTCTCGGCGCCTACCCTGGTTTCTCAGACTTCAACAAGTTGCTGACTCAAACCGGCGTTGCTTATGAGATCAACCAGCAGCCGAGTTGCACTGTTCTTGTCGTCGACAATGCTCATATGTCCGAGCTTTCAGGCCTATCGCCGGATGCAGAGAAGAACACCTTGAGCCTCCAGGTTGTGCTTGAGTATTACGATGAAACGAAGCTGAGGAACATGAATTTCAAGAGACCACTGCTTCTCACCACGCTTTACCAGCAGAGTGGGAAAGCTCAACACCACCAAGGTTTCTTGAAAATGAAAACTGAGGGCAGTGGTCAAGTGGCGTTTGGATCAGCTGCTCCTGGTTCTTACCTTGATACCACGTTTGTTAAACAAATTGTTACTGTACCTGATCGTGTTTCGGAACTACAAGTCAGCGATATTATAAATGGTACCCGTGCTTCTTCAAATTCAGCTTCACCAGCTTCCCTTCCTAAAGCTTCTTCTCCCAGGAAGGCACTAACACTACCACTAGCACCAGCAGCAGCAGTTCCTAGTCTTGTCGAGACTCCGGCTCTGTCCCCAATTACTCCAACCGAGTTGCCAGGTGCTCCTGCTTCTGCTCCTGCTCCTTCTGATGCATCTGTTGGTTATGAGGATTATGTTGCATCCACCATTCTTACGGTTTCACTTGGGCTTGGTTTCTTCTTACTATGATTTGACGAGGATAAAATAAGAGGAGAAAGTTTGGATTCTTTTATATTTGGATTTTTGGTTTGTACTCATCCTACTATGATGGGATGTTCCACTTTTTCAAAATGATCATAAAATCAAGCTTCCTGTTTCTAATATTGTTTTAGTTGCAAATTTAACAAGTGAATGTCTCATTAGTTATCATCATTCCATTCCATTTGCACAAATTCTTCTAACTTTGGAAAAATTAATGCATTAAACAAAGAGACATTGTAGCCACGTAACCAAAAGATCTCATGCTAATAATAGTAATAAAGAACCAATATATAGATATTATTACATAAAAGGAAAGTAATTCAAACCAAAGAATCATACCATATAAACATGAGATAATTAATCATATTAGAATGTAACCCTAAAATGTGGAGGTTAAATTTGTATATTTATTCAAAATTCTGAGCAAAATAATGGAATACGTAAATACTAAGGGATAAGTATATTTTTGTACCACTTAAAAAAAGTCATGCCATCATTTTTATAAACGATTTAACAAAGAGTAAAAAAAAATAACAGATGAAAAACGTTGGTGACTAAATTGATTTTTTTATAATTTGGTGACTAAAATAAAAAAAACACTAATAGTTAAGTGAGCAATAGTGTAATCAGTTTGGTATTGATTTTAAAAAATGATTTTAAAAAGTGATGTGAAAAAACTACTTTTTAAAAATATTTTTGAAAAATGCAGTTTTAAATTTTGATTGTATTTCTATTTTAGTCACCAAATTATTAGTGTATTTCTATTTTAGTCACCCAATTTATTTTGTTCACAACGTCGAAATTTAAACATCTGATCTTATTTAAGGATTTAATACCTTATACCACTAGATCAACTCTGTTGATAGCTGATTTATTAGATAATTTGTGTTTATGGTCATGCTCACGAATTTACATTTCTTTAGTTCCAATAGGGCTGAAGTGAAACTTCCAATTAATTCATTTGTGAAGTAGAATGATGATGGTTACGTGGTATTCATTTCTTCTGATTGTAGCTAAAAACATAGATAGAAACAAGAAGCCTGAATTTATTAGCATTTCAAAAAATTGGAATTACAGCTCCGGGTGAAAACAAACCAAAAATTCAAAGATTTAATGAACCTAAAGTTTCCCCTCTTGTTTCATCTACTCAAACCATCGTAAACAATAACCAAGCGCAAGTGAAAATCAAAAGAATGGTAGATGCCAGATAATCCCCACAAGGTACAGATACATCAGACTTATGTTCATCACTACCAGGACCAGGAGCATCAGCATCTGGCGGCGATGCATCGGTTGCTTTAGTCTTCGACGGAGCCGGAGACTTTCTGTTGTCCTCTTCGTCAAGACTAGGTGTAGGTGCTGGAGCTGGTGCTAGTACCTTCCTCGGAGGAGGAGCATATGCGGGAGCGTTTGTTGGAGAAGATGAAACCGAGGCTATATCGATGAGATTGCTGATTTGCAGCACTGAAAGGTCATAAGGTTTTGAAGTAACTTGTTTAACGAGTTGAGCTTCAAGGTGAGAGTTTGGAGACGATGATGCAAAAACCACGGCACTCTTTCCCGTGTTCATCATGTTCAAGAACCCTACCTGATTGCGTGCTTTCCCGGTTTGTTGGTAGAGCGTGGTGAGAATCTTTGCTGTTTTGGAATGCGATTTGTTGAGCTTGGCTTCATCGTAATAATCGAGCACAACATGCACGCTCAAGACCATCTTCTTTGTTTCCATGGGTCGGCCATAAAGTGAACCCAAATTACCATTCGAAACAACAAGAAGAGTGACGGTTTGCTTGCTGTTGATTTCGTCGGCGACGCCCGTTTCGTTCAACATGTTGACGAAGTCGGAGAACTCCGAGTAGCTGCTCAGGGACTTGCCGATGTCTAACTTAGCTGCGGCAGAAGCTAATAAGAGAAAGAAAAATGCAACAGATGGAGAAGACATGGGGAACTTTTTTTTGTTTGATTGTAATTTGAGGAAGATGAAGTTGTTGGTGTTTCAGACAAGGGTGCAAGAACGGGTTTATATACAAAACATGGTGATACCAATTCAAGCCTAATATTGGTAAGTTTGAGTTTATTTCGACCAAATAAGTGGAATTTCAGTTTTGGTCAGAGAAACAAAGAGAGCAATACAGTAAATGTGTGGGTACTTTTAATCGGAACCAAATGCATGTTTGTTCCCACACCCGTTAATATAATTCAATGATATTTCAAATTATTTTTCATTTAAAGCTATATAGTCATGATATTATAAATGATGATAGGTTAGAAAAAACATGTTTTACATCTCATGTTAATAATATTATATCTTACAAACATATTATTATGAAAAAGATTTTAATAAGTATTCTAAATTAATATTGTGTCTTCTTATGATTGAGAAAATGACGAAGTCTTATTCTACTGACTCTATGAAGTGAATGTGACATCTTATAATAAAAAAAGAAGATAAGACTAACAATCGTGGTCATGATAATGAGCGTGTCCATATTCACGGTCACGGTCTAAGACATGAAAAACATGATCATTTTAAGAATACTTACACCAACTATAAGCAAGATTATAAAAATGACGAGCGATAAAAATTTAATCAAGAAAATAGAATCTTTACATTATCGATGTGGAGGAACATAACATTAGTCTTGTATTGTCGTACGTCAAAGTATCTTGTGAACATTTATCAACAATCATTAAATGATAAAGAAAAACAAATTAAGATAAATTTTCTTTGCAAGAATGGAGAGGATGATTAAGGCATTTTTTATCCAACTTAATTAAAGGTAGATGCTTTCTTCACAACCTAAGAAGAGAGGAATTGAACTTTTTAATTTATATTATTATTATTATTATTATTATTATTTATTTTTAGGAATAAATTTTCATATCAGTTTATTGTTATATTGAATATTCATATTCATAACTATGTGATTTTTTTTATTTATTTCTCTCTCTCAAAAATATGATTTCTTCTCAAATACAATCTACAATAAATGATGAAGACTTACACTTAATAGACAGTGCAACTACTCATCATGTAACCCATTTAAAATATTAATACCTAATAAATTTTAACTTTAAACTCATTAATATTATAAAACAAGTTAATTTTAAAATCATTAATATTTGGAAAGAAAAAACTTTTCTCAAATACAAACTCAATTAATTTTATGTTCGTTCATTTGTCTTCATTTACATCGTTCGTTTGTGTTCGTTTATCATTTTAACGAACGAACATAAATGAATACGAACAAGCTAGATTTCTTGATGAACGAATACAAACAAAAAAATTTATTCGTTTATTTGACTAAAGATAAATGAACGAACATGAGCATACTCTCTTTTGTGCTCGTTCGGTTCATTTACAAGTCTAAGAACATAGGTTTGACAATATATATATATATATACTTAAAATATGGGTCGGATTATGATTTCAATTTCAACATTCAAGGTGCGAATTCGTATTAGTTCAATCCATTTTAAAGTTGATAATCTAAGTATTATTTTATATTATATAATTTGTATTATATAAAAATCAAATTTATAACAATATTTAATACTATAATGTAAATATGAAAAACATTTTAAGTTGTTTGTGTATAAATGAGTAAGAATTTTTTTTAATAAAAGATAAAACATTAAATATTAGGTTAAAAATAGAATATTTATTTGGGAAATATTGATTATATATTTTTATTCTATTCTAAAATTTTATAAATTCGGTCTCTAGTAGAGCTGGGTATATGGGCTAAGGCCCGCGGGCTACCCGTTTAACCCGCGACCCGTGCGGGCTTCGGGCCTCAAAAATTGAAGACCGTTTAAATTGTGGGCCGTTAAACCCGCGGGTTTAATGGGTATAACCGCGCGCTACCCGTTAAACCCGCTAAAGCCCGCTTAATTTAAAATTTATAAAATTTTAGAAAAAATAAACTTAAAGAATTTTATAGAAAAAGAAAATAAATTACTTATAAATATGATGTTACTTATAACTATTGTAGTTCTTAAATTTATTAGGGTGTTTGTCATAATTTTACCGTTGCTTGATATTTTTTTCATTTAAATATACATCATTATCATTTTGGTATTTAAAGTTTTTTTTATTTAATTATGACCTTTATTTTTTTCATGAAGTATGTTATCCATTTTGTTCTTTAATTATAAAAAGTCACGTGATATTCTAATAATATATCATATGACACGTAATATTTGGATTAAAAATAAGAAAGAAAAGTAAAATAAAAAATTAAAAATAGACTTTTCAACTTTTAAAGACTTTTACAAAATAAATATATTTTAACAAATTAATACTTATATTTTATCAATTTTAGTATAATTGTATCTTTCAAATTTGCTCTTATATTATAAGTATTTTATTTTATATTTTCATATTATGTTTTAGTATTTCTCTAAAGTATCCATAAAATACAATTATTAGAAACACTTGACAACTTTCTTGTTAGATTTGTATAATGTTTGACTTTGTTAAATTTTTAAGTTTGAATTTCTACTTTCAGACACTTCTGTGTATTCATATTATAGCCTTGAATAATTGTGTTTTATAAAAGTATAATGTAGTTATTGTTTTATTTTTTTTTCATTTTGGTGATATAAGTGAATATTGTTTTTTTAATTTGAGTTTAAGTAATTATATCATTATATATATATATTAATGATTAAAAAATTTAAAAAAAATATTATTTTATAATCATTTCCGGCTATTTAAAATAAAATTTAAATATTATTTATTATTTTGACAGTGCTACCTTCATTTTCAAGTTGCTCGATCATTTTTAAAGGTGTAGTAAGTTAAAACATTATTTTTTATTGTATTTAAAGCATTTAAAATTATTTTTATTAAACGGGCCGCGGGTAAGCCCGTTTAGCCCGCGGGTTAAATGGACGGGCCGCGGACCTTAAAATTCAAAACCGTTTATGAATACGGGCTTTTTAGCCCGCACCGTTTAAGCCCGCACCGTCAAAACCCGCGGGCTAAA